ATACCAGCCCTGAGCTAACATCTGATGCCAATCCTTCTCTTCTAGCTGAGGAAGACTGGCCCTGGGCTAACATTCATGCCCATCTTTCTCTACTTTATATGGGACGCCACCTCAGCATGGCTTGACAAGTGGTCCATCAGCGTGCACCCGGGATCCGAACCTGCGAACCACCGGTGTGTGCACTTAACCGCTACGCCACCAGGCTGGCCCCTCATGTGACTTGCTTTTATTGCAATATCTGCTTTATTGTGCCAGTCTGGAACGAAACCTGCAGTATCTTCGAGAACGAAACCTGCCTGTAAAATACAGCCCGCTCATAAGGAGATTATCTTCATCTACCTGGGATGACAAGTACACAAAGTATCATAATGACAGTGCTGTCGCAGAAGTTCAGAGAAGATGCTGTGAGAGCAGAAAAGAGGTAGAGCCTAAGTGAAGAGGCTGATGGAAGTAAGGCTTTACAGAGCAGATGAGACCTATATGGTTATTAAAATTCCTTAAAATGTACTTAAGATAGTTAATAGCCATGAAAGGAAAGGTTATTATTAGCAAAGAAAACTTCCTCAAGTTCCACTCCACATCCATCATGGGAAACCCAAGCTGGGTTTCCCTAGCATTCTGGATTTACACTGACTGGGTCAACACTGCATGGCTATCACATCAGCCCTGCGTGGCAATAACCTCAGAGTTATTGCACTCTAAAATAGACAGCAACTGGCAGAGGCCAAGGTAAAAAGGAAAAAGGCAGGGAGAGTCTCCCCATCCTTCACCACCACTCTCGAGTCAGAACCAGGATCATGCCCAGGCTGCCAAAGCCTAGAGAACTCCTACATAAAGACCAAAGGAATTGGGATGGGTCACAGTTGCATGCAGCCATAATCTATCCTTATAAATCAAGCCTCTGTGAAAACACAAAGCTGTCCTGCCTAAGTCAAAAAAAGGAAGAAAAATACAATAAGAACCAAAACTGAAAAAGGAAGAACTGGTAGAAGGAATTGTGCTAATTAACCCTGATTACAAAACAGGGCAAAAGAAATCAAGCAAAAAGGAAAGAAAAGAAAAAACTAAGTGGTATATTTGGGTTAACTGCTTCCCCTTTACCAATTTCAGATAATATATGGTCATAGGACAAGATAAAAAAAAACACCACCTCTCTCTCTCTCTCTATACACAATGGAATACTACTCAGCCATAAAAAAGACAAAATTGTCCCATTTGCAACAACATGGATGGGCGTGGAGGGTATTATATTAAGTGAAGTAAGCCAGAGGAGAAAGACAAACATTATATGATCTCACTCATATGTGGAATATAAACCAACACATGGACAGAGAAAACTGTATTGTGGTTACCACGGGCAATGGGGGTGGGGGGTGGGCACAAGGGGTGAAGGGGAGACATATATATGGTGATGGACAAACAAAAATGTACAACCCAAAACTTCACAATGTTAAAAACTATTAAAACATCAATTAAAAAAAAAAAACACCTCTTAATTTGTAATACAGAATTAAGATGTAATTTCACATCCTCACTTCTCTATTTGATTCTAAGTAGGTCAACCTTCTCTATCCATCTTAAGATAAATTAGTGACCTCACTGTAGACCAGTTCCACAAGAACCATCCTGGGCTATCTAGGCAAGATATAGCTGTCCACCATGCCTTATAACTCTATTAAGATGGGAACTTCAACTGCTTTACATCAATTTTGAAGACAAAGGTGTTCTGGGCTTCTGCTATTCCCATTCAGCTCCTTTTCTATCCAGAATGCATGTTAATGTATCTTTGGGGGAAATTCCATTGCTCATTTGTTATACTGGGTTAAATAGTGTCCCCCCAATATTTATATCACCCAGAACTTATGAATGTGACCTTATTTGAAAATAGGGTCTTTGCAGATGTAATCAAGTTAAGACTAACTCTTTAGTGTGGGCTCTAAATCCCAATCTGACTAGTGTTCTTATAAGAGGGAAACGTGGACAGAGACGCTCGGAGAGGGAAGATGGCCAGGTGAAGATGGAGTCAGAAACTGGAGTGATGCAGCTATAAACCAATGAACACCAAGGACTGTCAGCAACCACCAAAAGCTTAGGAAGCCACCAGAGGCAAGGAAGGATTCTTTTCTAGGATCTTCAGAGGGAGCACGGCCCTGTCTACACCTAAATTTCAGAATTCTAGCCTCCAGAACTGTGAGAAAATAAATTGCTGTTGTTTAAGGTTTACCACCCAGTTTGTGCTCTTTGTTATGGTAGCCCCAGGAAATTAATACATTTGTTTTAAAAAGACATCATATAAAGATTTAATAAAGCTGTGAATTTTCTTGACGTATTATTTATTGGGATTATCATTCTACTTTTACTCTTCCTGTCAGAATTTCGTAACGCTGTGCATTCAGACTGTAGACAAAGAAAATGTATTATAATCTAGAATACCTTATTGTATAAGACCACAAAACTGAGGCTCAGAAATGTTCAGTGACTTTTCTTCCCGAGGTTATACAGCTGTACGGCAGCAAAGCCAGGACTAGAACCAAAGATTACCAAGTCTAAGTCTGATGTTTCTTTAATACATTATGCCCTGAATGATAAAACTCTTAATTAATATATACACAAAACTCCAGAATAACTACTTTACAGGTATTTAGAAATATCTAAGACTTCTGAAGTTCCCCAGAACTGCTCTGTCATTATGGCTGAGTTATGAGCTAAAGAATAAAGAGGAACCAAAAGTGAATTAAGATATCTTCTCACACTAGTGAGACTGTAAACTGAGGCATATTGACAAAATACTTTTCTGAAGTATCCATCAAGAACATAAAAGTATCCACGCTGTGACTTAGGTAAAGACATTTATTATGGCATGCTTTATAATATTAATAAAGAGCATAATTAAAATAGTCAACCAGGAAAGGTAAGATAATGTAGCCAATAAAAATAAGTTTTTCCAAAAAATGATAGGAAGACGTTCAGGGTCCACATGTGACATGAAAATGTTTAAAGAAATTATTTATATGCAGAGAAAAAAAAATGGTGGAAGAAAATACGCCCAAATGTTCACAGTGGGTTAATTTTTGAGTTTTGTTGTCTTTTTTTTTTTAAACTTAATTTGTCTGTTGTTTTTTAGAGCAGTTTTAGGTTCACAGCAAAACTGAGAGAAAGGTACAGAGATAATCTCGTGGTGGTTTCCTTCCTCCTCTCTCATACTTTCCTGTATTTTCCAAGTTTCCAAGAATTGATACATAGTATTTCATCAATTCTAAGACATACTTTGTCACATCTCAACATCTTTTAAATCAGGATGCATCTTAACAATTGATAGTATGTCTTAATTTAACTGAAATCATTTCTTAGTGGCACACAAAATAATGGTGCATCTTCCAAGCAATAGCATCTCTGAGTCTATGAAATGTAGTAGTTTTATAACAGGGAACTAATATAACATATATAAACACACACACACATATACTTACAAATGTATATAAAATAGATAAAGCAACAAAAATGACTACCATTGTACTAATCTCAGTTGTTACTAAGAGACTCTAGTTCTCAAATATAGAAATTCCCACTTAACTACTGGCTATAAAAACCTAAAAACAGACACTGAAGAGGTGTCCCTGACAGAACAAGACTGTGTTTCTCTCCTCAGGGTAGGCATATCCAGTCACCTCCTAGCTATTCTTATCACCATTCCAGCTCATGTTCTACAAATCTCAACTTCCTCTGTGAAGAAGAGCTAAGGAAAGCTACATATTCACCATCCTTGGTGAATATTTTTAGTTTTAATTCCTTATTTGCTCTAGCTAATTTTTAAAGAAGTCATAATTTAATTTGTTCCGTATGGTAAGGGAACAAATTATTTAAAAAAAAAAAAAAAAAAAAGTAAATCCTCTGGACTTTGCCCTCAATCATAATACACTCTACTGAATGTTTTGGAGATTTATATATAAAAGCCTATTTTGAAAAGAAGCTGGAAGAATGCTCCAGTGGAATTTTTGGAATTAAAGCTTAAATGATATATATGGGAGGATGCAGAATTTTTACTTCAAACTCTCATCATTTTGTTCATCTTATCAGTTGGTCATCCTTTAACTTCTGGCCTACTAATTAATGGATAGATTTCACAATACAGCAATTTTCTTAAGACTCTGACCAGCACCAAGGCAGGACAAAAAAGTGTCATGACACTTACTTTTAGGAGCAGTAGACTCTTTATCTAGACCCATGTTTCCAGTTATGGAGCTCAACTGCATCAAGCTAATACAAATAATACCTTGCAAGAATGTAAGCTCCATGAAAGTAGCATTTTTATTTACCACTCTGACTCTACTAAGGAGAACAGTGCCTGGTACATAGCAGGCACTCAACTATCTGTGGATTTCTTTTCCATGCAAATTTATCCTTCAGTCAAACCCAAACTGAACAGAGGACTCTTTTAAAGTTGATTTTTAAGAAGAAAAACTATACACAGTGTCACTGTCAAAGACAAACGCTGTAGAGTAAGAATAAGTCCTATGAAGATAGGAGGACATGGGAAAATCAAAATCCTAATTGCCAATGTCTAATTTTGCCTAAACAATCTTTCAGGAAAAACGCTATTTTTCCTCACAAAGCAAGAAAGCTTGGTGGTGAAACAAAAACGCATCTACGTAAAAAAAAGCAAGATGAAAATCCTCAGTAATCACTACTTTTCCATAAATACAACAAATATGACAGTTATAGTCAATGGCTTACATTTATATAGTCTTTTTTTCTTATGTTTCCTGTTAGCCCAGATAACACAAACTGTTTTGTTTTAAACACAAGTTCAATTCAACATATTATAACAGTGTTGTCTGCACTACACTAAGCAACATCAGGCTCTTAAACAAATTAAACCACTCTATCAGATCGTATTAAATCATTCTCTTTGACATAGTTAAGATTTATTGAGGAACGGGAGAAAAGGAATAATGGCAGTTTTTAGCTGGGCTGAAAAAGACCAGACACTTATCCCTTACCTTATTAGCACGTATCTGTTTGTAAATATCTGTTTGCTGCCGAATTCGATATTCCAAGTCAGAAACATGAGCCTGAAGCCAGTTCCAGCGGCTGACAATAGCTGCTCGGTCGGCAGCCCATCTCCATTCTGACCTGCGCCTCCTAAAAGGAAATAAACTGAGTGAAATCCACGAGTAGCAGCAGCATTTATACCAAATAGGGGAGGGAGGGTTTTTAACATTTAAAGGCCCTTATCGAGACCAACTCAAGTGCCAAGAGAAACCCAAGACTTTATATATACACATTTGTCTGTCACAGGACACACATGGATAAAACTCTTCACATACAGACACTTCCCAAATTAACCAGCTGAAACTGCCTATTAGTATCCTGATCCTGTGGCACACAATTTCTCTGAAATTGCTTTAATTTTTCAGGAGATAGAAATAGTTTATACTTTATCTACAAAGAAAATCCAAAAGACACCACGAATTATTAAAGCTATCAAGAATTCAGCAAAGCTGAAAAGTAAAGATCCACATACAAAAACTAATAGTGTTTACATATGCCAACAAGTAGAAAATATTCATTTTTTTAAAAGCACTATTCACAACACCAATAAATGCTAGTATTATACAAAACAGATCTTTACAGAGAAAATAATAAAACCTGAAAAACATAAAAGACCTACATAAATGGTGAGATACATTTTTTTAAGATGGCAATTTTCATACATATCTATAAATTCAAAAAAGTTCCAATCAAATTCTCTACAGGGTTTTTAATGGTAGCTGACAAACAAATCCAAAAATTTACATGGAAAAGAAGGACCAACGGTAGAGAAGTTCTAAAGACAGTATGATGGAAACTCACACTACAGACTTACTGTACAGCTACAATAATTAAGGCAGTCTAGAAGACAAAAAGACCAATGAGTCAGAATACAGAGCCCCAAAACTTACAACTGGATATATAAAAGAGATAGCGTTCACAACAGCGGGATACAACTGAACTACTCAATAAATAGTATTGAAATGGACAGTTCTTTACGCAGAAAAAGTAAAATTAATTCCCTTCTTCAAGATATAATTTCTTGGGGCCGGCCGCGTGGCGTAGAGGTTAAGTGCACGCGCTCCCCCACTGGTGGCCCAGGTTTGGATCCCAGGCGCGCACTGACGCACCACTTGTCAGGCCATGCTGTGGCGGTGTCCCACACAAAGTGGAGGAAGATGAGCACGGATGTTAGCTCAGGGCCAGTCTTCCTCAGCAAAAAGAGGAGGATTGGCAACAGATGTTAGCTCAGGGTTAATCTGCCTCAAACAAAAAACAAAGAATATTGGCAACGGATGTTAGCTCAGGGTTAATCTGCCTCAGCAAAAAAAAAAAAAAAAAAAAAAAAAAGGATATAATTTCTTTATTTTAGGATTCCTAAATTTGAAAATCCAAACTAACAAAGAAGAGTACCTTTCGAACATTACAGCAGGGAAGGATTTCATAAATAAGAGAGAAAATAATGTAGCTAATTTTCAACATACAACAAAAGATTTAACAAAGTTAAAAGCAAGCCACTGGTTGGTAGAAGACACATTGCCAATAACAATAAAAATTGGCACCACCACTTTTTGAAGAGTCATTTGGAAATACTTAGCTAGGTGGAAAACATGCATACTCAACCATCATGCAATCCTATTTCTGAGAACATAACCTGCACATCTGCATAAAGAAATAGGTTCGACTGTTTCACAATGTATACAAATATCGAATCACTATGTTGTACACCTGAAACTAATATAATACTGTATGTCAATTAAACCTCAACAATAATAAAAAACAAAAAAAAGTTCATTGCAACAGAGTTTCGAATAGCTAAAAATTAGTTACAATCTAATTTGCTAAAGTAGGGAAACAGATAAACCATAATTTATTCCTCTAATGAATTTTTCTAGAACAATAAAAACAAATTAACTAGAACTATCTATATCAACATGACTACATCTCAGAAGACAATGTTGAATGGAAAAACCATATAAAAACCAAAAATAAACTAAACAAAAATAAGTACTATTACAGATACACACAAGTAGTAAAGGAATTTAATGGAATACGATTTATCAATTTAACTATTACTGTATGTATTAACACAACTAAATCTCAACAATGTTAATGAAAAACTATATGAAACCTAAAAAAGAATAACCATACAATAATAAGGATTGTTAGCAATACATAAATAGTAAATGCATAAAAACATGCATGGAGGGCCGGCTCCGTGGCTTAGCGGTTAAGTGCGCGCGCTCTGATGCTGGCGGCCCGGGTTCGGATCCCGGGAGCGCCCTGAGGCACCACTTCTCCGTCCAACGTGAGGCCGAGTCCCACGTACAGCAACTAGAAGGATGTGAACCTATGACATACAACTATCTACTGGGGCTTTGGGGGGAAAAAACTGAATAAATAAAATCTTTAAAAAAAAAAAAAAAAAAAAACATGCATGGAACTGAGTGACACACAACAAATTCAGGATCAGGGTACTCATTACCTCTGGGAAGAGAAACGGAGAAGTTGGATTTTAGCTCTACCTATAATGTAACGTTTGACTTCTCTTTATTTATTTAAAGATTTTATTTATTCATTTTTTTCCCCCCAAAGCCCCAGCAGATAGTTGTTATGTCATAGGTCCACATCCTTCTAGTTGCTGTACGCGGGACTCGGCCTCACGCTGGACGGAGAAGTGGTGCCTTGGGGCGCGCCCGGGATCCGAACTCGGGCCGCCAGCATCAGAGCGCGCGCACTTAACTGCTAAGCCACGGAGCCGGCCCTGACTTCTCTTTAAAAACAAAAAGTCTGATAGAAATATAGCAACATCTTAACCTTCCTAAATAGAGGGGGTACACAGCAGCTGGTATATTCTGTAATTATAATCTTCCACAAAATTCTTTCTCAAGAAAGCAGCAGTAGTCACACTGCCCTTAGCCCCACCTCCAATCAGCATACACATACTCACTACTAAAAATTTTAAGTGACTATAAGTGAACTTTAACATAGTCCACTGATAGGGTGAAATACAACATAACATCAATAATAAAAGAGAACAAATCTAGCCACAGTCGGGTTAGAAATGAGTTAATACTTAACCATACCATAATAATTAAGACTAAGGGTAACAATGGTATTTTACTAACTTTTATATGGTCCAAATATAAGCCATTCAAAACGACTATTGTGATAAACAAGGCATTTTATAGTTCCCCTAATCTTGATGGAATCAGTACAAGATATAAAGATAGTTCCTTTTGGAGTACACTTCTGCAGGTCTAATTCTAGCCCAAATTCAGGAAAGAACCTCAAGAGATCAAGTACAACCTCTGGATCATTTCTGAACTATAAAATGTCCCCCTCTTTTCTAAAAGAGGCAAAGCTAGTTAACCCTCATCTCCTATTTCCAACTTTCATTACTCTCCAAGGTTCACCACCCTTTCTATCCTGCAAAATCTCTTGGTTTTACAGGTTCATTTCATTTCTGAAACTACTACAGTATGAAGTCCCCATCTATCACTATTGGGCTATTGCAATAACCTCCTTAGATACTACTCTTAACATAAGTTACAAACTATTTTTCCTAAATAAACACCCTTCAAACCTTATTTCTTTCTGTCACTCTTATGTGTAAGGAACCACACAGTTCCTCTGCTTCTTTTCAAATTGTAAGTCTCGAAGGAAATAATAAAGTATAAGGGGAGTCAAATATTGTAAAAGACAGCAATTTGAAGCCAAGAAGTGATTAATAAAATTAACATAATATACATTTAATGACAGTTTATTAAAAAATTTGTTTTAAAAACTGACAGTGGCTAGCCAAAATAAAATCCTTATGTTGAAAACCAAAGCAAGGGAAAGAGGATTTCTTGGCAAATTTACAGCACTTCTTCCTGAGCTACCCTTGGTGGTCTGAGAATCCTGGCAGTCTCTCCCAATGATCCTGAACTTAGCTCATAAGCCTTCTCATGACGGTGTTCCAGGACACCATGCACTCTAAATTGGCAGGAAAGATGAAATCTATATCTCTGAAATCAGACACATCTTAATCAGAAGAATTTCCTTTCTTGTTTGATGTCAAGGAAAAAAAAAAAAAGAAAGAAACCAAAACACTTTAAAATCTGTTTAAAAGTCTGAGAATACAAAAGGAAAAGAAAATTACTTAAAACATTTCAGTTCACAAGAACTTCGATGGATAAATATTTTTTTCTTTGACATTAAGGAACGGCCCCTTTCGAATTTTCTAAGGTCAAAACTAACAGGCCTGCTATACAGGTATTTTTCTAAATACAAATACAAAACTAAGCCTCCTGAGAGCCAGCCCCGATGGCCTAGCAGTTAGAGTTTGGCACGTTCCACTTCGGCAGCCCGGATTTGGTTCTGGGGTGCAGAACCACATCACTTGTCTGTCAGTAGCCATGCTGCGGCGGCGGCTCACACAGAAGAACTAGAAGGACTTACAACTAGCATATACAACTATGTACTGGGACTCTGGGGAGTGAAAAAACAAAAAGAAAGGAAGACTGGCAACAGATGTTAGCTCAGGGCAAATCTTTCCCAGCAAAAAAAAACCTGAGGCTCCTGATAATATTTTTTGGAGACTGGCTAATAAACTAATGAAAGATAGGCAGCATTAAGGGGATACTAGCAATCCTCAATTTATGAACAGGTTTCATTCCTCAAATACATTTGTCATATGACAGTTTAGAACTGGAAGTGACTGCAATAGAAAATTGTTACAATGTTGTAACATAATTAATGAAAAATGGAAAACCCCACCCTAAGTATCCAAAAAGTATCTGTGTTCAAAATACCAGCAATATGGGCAGAAAGCTGAACTCTTTGTAAAGGTGAGAGGTGTATAGTTAACAAGTCTGAGGTGAGCTGTGAAGATGTTACCACATCCCAGTGGCAGAGCAGAACACCACAAAACATTATTGCGAGAGTAAGAGCTTCACATCTTATATATCTTTTTCCTTAACAAAAACAGCATGCCACAGAAACTGTTTACCTGAGGTAGAGGTGGATTCCCCCCTACCATCCAAAATTTAAATTTATTACTGTGATAATTTACAGCTCAAAAACAAGAGACATTGATTTAACATTAGAGACAAGTTTAAATACAGACT